GTGCTTGAGAAAGAGGCTACGACGAAAGACGTAACTACTGGTAACACTACCGCTTTTGGCGATGACGAAGAAATCTGTTTCAGTAAGATACTTGAAATTGCTTTTCTAGCAAGATTAGTCATGCCAACAATAAAAGGATAAAGTTTTTGGCGATAATCAATCCCGTCTGAGGGATGCGGCCCGCACGCGACTTCCATTCAGAATCGTAGCGGCGTAATGATGTGTATGTGGCCTATACAATGACTTGCGGTGGCCTGCCGATGTACAAGCCAGTGCTTTTATCCTCCCAGACGAGTTTGGTGGCAATTAACCGACTCCGGAGGGATGGTGGTCTTCGTTGGCCTAGTCGGATATCGGTCCGTGATTCGAACCCGTGACCGTGCGTGTGTGATAGTGCGCCACTCGCCACTACACCACGTCCGCCATGTCAAACCAGTAACAATGGAAAAAAGCTATGTGAAAGCACCTTGTGAATGCGTCTTTTGCTCATTAGCATATAGATGAAGCTTATCGTCGATAAATTCTTAGTGTGAGTGTGGTCTTTCAATTCGAATAGATTGTTTGCAGTTGATAGAGAGCGCGTTCAAGGGGCTGGAGAAAGGGCTCCGTTTCTTTGGTTCGAGACCAAGTTTGAAATGCCATTGAACAAGTGCCTTGAAGTTTCTGATACTTTCCATCTATTACTTACCATATAAAGTCCCTTATCTAAAAAGCACCTAGTTTGTTGTTACATTGTTATCTAGTTCAACACTCAATATCCAACCATATATCGCATCGTTAAACGTATCGACTGAGGTACGCCTTGGCCGACTTTTCACTTTACTTACTCGGGAATTCAGCAGGAAACATGATTCTTACAGTGACCTTACGGTGAAATGAAATGCAATGGACGCAGATTTTCACAGACAACAGGTTTCTTTTCACGACTTAGCCCTATTCGAATACTCAAAGTAACTTGACGCTGCACTCTGACAAAAATCTTCGGGAGGAGATTATGTCATGGAATGAAATATGATTATTCCATTTCGTTTCACCACTAGGTCATTTTGAAAGCCTGATTCCCCTACTGAATTTTCGTCCTTATCTTAGATTTTCAAGCGGAGGTGGTGTAGCGGCAAGTGGCACACTTCACACACGCATGGTCACGAGTTTGAATCCCGGATCGATATCTGCCAGGCCAACCAAGCCTTCCATCCCTCCGGGTCCGTTGATTGGTACCAGATTCGTCTGGGAGGATAAAAGCACTGACTTGTACATGGCCACCACAAATCATTGTACAGGGCACATACGCATTCAATACGCCCTGTCTAAATGGAAGTCGAATAATGCGTAAGCGCATCTTTCAGACGAGATTGATTAATTAACGCCCCAAACTTCCTCCTTGAAAACTTATTGTTAGTCTTTTATCTAAGATCTTCAGGAAAGCAAAGTGTAATTTTAAGTTCTTCAGAGTGCTCGGGTTCATATGATCATCACAAAATATTAAATGGTCGGTTAGAGCAACATATGCATGATAGGCAAAGCTTGAAAATTCTAAATGAGACCATGATGTGAACATTTCAATAACTCTCATCACTTCTTTCAGCGCTTAAACTTGATGTTTGCCCAGAATGCCATCAAGACAAAGGAAGACACATCTACGATCACCTGTTCACAATGCATGGGTATTCGAAGCACGACGTGCAGGAAGCCAAAAACCAAAGGCGCAGATGGCTGTTATTCACCACTGCCAGTGCCTCTTACATTTGTGATGTATGCAACCGTCCTTATAAGTCGAAGAAAGCTCTCAGACATCACAGACGGGAGAAGGAACATAATAGTGGGGAGGGCCAAATTGTGCAAGTGCTTCTGTGCCCATTATGCGACCGACGAGTTCTGGTGAGTTGAAGTCTCTTTTATCGTATTCAAAGTGTTATTGGTTTGCACTTCACTCAAAAGGAAATCTGAATCTTCCAGCTAATCGTGGTGTCTTTTTCAGAATCAGGAAGAACTTTATAACCACGTCAACGAAGAACATGCAGCTGCATTGCGAGACAATTGCGCTCTGTTAACAAGAGATCCCGAAATAAAGGTGCGAATCACTTGCCTTTCTAAACTTTTTGATCAACAAATAGTTCAGGGAAGTTTATCCCAGATTAAGCAAAAAAGTAAGATCTCAGATCGAAATACACCTTTCTTTCCTGTCGCCTTGTCGTTTTCATCTTTCTGTCGTCACTTGGTTGATACATTGTGCAGAGCCACAGACAACAACGTTTTTTACGCCGCTTTGGATTCAGTGCGTGAGGTTGATGCATAATTATTGCGGATTTTTTCGCGGCT